TCTGTGTGCCTCCACAACAAAAGCCCAATAAAAGTTCAAGAACTTGTTGGTGGTCCAGGGGAGACTGAAGATCAGTTCAGAGATACTGTGTCCTGGGCAAATTAAAAATCAGCCACCTGGCCTTTAGCAAATGGGCTCAGAGCAGGTGGGCTGGCAGCAGCAGGCTGGGCGGCAGCTGGACTGTCCACAGTAGGATGGGCGGCAGCAGGAGGCCTGGGCATAGTGCAGCTGGCAGCAGGATGGCGGGGTGCAGCTCACCACACAGGAGGGGCAGGGAGGTGCCCTCCACGCGGCAGTCTGGGCGGCACCACCTGACACGGTAGCTCACAGCTCCACTGCCACCCTCCTGGCCAGAGCCGATGCCACCGACGATGCCACCGCCGGTCCTACAGCAGCTGATTTGGAAGCAGGTCGGCTGGCAGCCGGTGGTTTGCCAACAGGTTGGCTGGCAGCTGCTGGTCTCAAAGCAGCTTGGCTGGCAGTAGCTGGAGCCACAGGTCCCACCAGTGGAGCAGCTAGGAAACCCACAGAAGCTGGTGTGGCAACAGGCCATGGTGTCAGGAGTTGGATTGGGAGTTGGACTGCTTGGAGAAGCTTCTGAGTTTTTGGTAGTGACTTCCACGTAGGGCATTTTATAAGCCTTGGCCAGCTACTATTTACATAATTCCCAAAGTCTCTTCCTTGTTTATGTTTAAATTATTTGCTTCTAAATGATGATTGGTCTGCCCCTGAGTTATTTGTTCAACTTCCCGAAAGCCTGTAAAGGTTGATTTTATTTGGTCTTCAATTAGGATTCTTCTCCATGGTCAGGTAGTCATTAGGATTCATATTTATTAAAATTTTCTTGTTGCCCAAATAATAATTGACTGATACTTCATTTGAGTGTCAATATTACTCAATGTTGACCCTTATAATTGGGCTCTTGGATCTCACATGACAGATTAATTCTCTGCCCCATGGCCCCTGTTGTTGACTGCTGCCTCTACTCTGCCTTTCTCACCTTCACTTTGATGCTGAAGTACTTTGTCTAGATTCAGCTGACCAGAAAGGGATGTTTTCCTGGGGGCTGGGAAACGCGGGTGAATTGTTGTTGGCAACTTTTTTTTTTGCCACTTATTATATACCTAAATGGTTCTGAGTACTTTATACCTACTAATTCATTTAATTTTCACAGTAATCCTAAGAAGTAGGTACTAATGCTATTCCCATCATCCATGTGAGGAAGCTGAGCTACAAACACATTTAAGTAACTTGCCCAAGTGTACACCAATACGAGGTGAATCTGAGATTTGAACCCATACCATCTGAATCCAGAGTAAACTCTTTTAACTACTATAGTCAACCCTCTTTTTTTTTCTAGGGAAAATCAGAGAAAAACCAGAAGTAAACTTTTCCCACTTTTTGTAGACATTTTTTCTCCCTTTTTTATTTATTGTGGTAAAT